TACAGTCGACACCCCTATAACACTGTTGATTATTCCGTTTTATATGAATTCCATGTTGTACGAGTCACTTAGATTTTACAAATACGTGTGTGCCGGGCTGTGAACGGCTCACGTATTTGTAAACTGTTTTCACGTATATTATAGAAATAATTATATTAAGAAAAAAATTGAATATTAAGTATACTCGTATATTTTAGAAGTTTGCAACCGGGTTAAGAAGTAGTTAAATAATTAAGCAATCAGGGAATTGGGGACATAAGCAAAACCCCGACGAAAGAGCCGAAATTTTACTTAAACAAAAGCTTAACCGAACCATCTGTAGCCGATTACAGTGGAGACTGATTTCTTCGTATTATTAATGTAATAAAGACAGAAATTTTTCCAGTTCGACGAGAGTGACCGAAAAGTTGTAAATTTTGGAAATTTCCGTGGACACCCGGTCCTAAAACGAATTAGTTAGAAAACAAATGACTATTAAGTTTAACATATTTAGATTTTTACAGCTACGGTGAAAACGTTTAAAATCTACAACAGCCCTTTCGCGTCATTTGAGATATACTAGTGATGCGACAAAAGAGGTATTTGACGTCGACCGGTATCGTCACCCTGGGGATTTGGCAGTCCGCGTGTATGCACGCTCTGCAACCTTCTTCGATACGTGCGACTAAATATCCACCGAAGTATAGATTATATTTTGTGGTCGTCAGAACGAATCGTGACGAAATAGATTATTTTTTTAGTTGTAATATGGAGTGAGTATAAAGTGAAAATACAACTGATTATTATTATTATTTAACTTCATACTTGATCTTTATGCATCTCTGAATCAAATCGTACACAATAGATCATTTTAATAGCGCGATTAGTGTTTTAAATTTACGTGCAAAGAAAATTTATACTTTGTTACAGATATTATTCATAAAAAGTTCGAGAAAGGACGAAATTTATAATTAAGACGAGTCAGAATATTTTTTGAATTTGTCACGTGCATTTAATATAGTTAGATGAAACAATAAAATTAACCAAGTTTTGTATATCTGTGAAAGAGAAATTTTCACAAATCTTGCTTAACAAATTATAAAATTTAAATGTAAAAGTTATTGAACAATTTTGAATAATGAATATTCTCCATAGATTACTCTTATCAGAAAATTTTTTTAATGTTTTAGTTAGAATTGACAGTTCTTTCTGTCAATAGACATTTTGTGCTTTCGAATGTCAGTTCAAAATCTGTGTGTTAAGAAACAATACTTTTCAAATTTACAGAAATTTCATGTATCCAGTTCCATAATAGATATATCAGTAAATATGTTTAATCAAATTTGTATGACCATTTTTCAAATTAAAAGTATAGAATTCTTGTATAAATTATTTAACAATCGATAATACTGTAAGTATTTAAATTGCTTTGAATATAATACAATCGACCCCCCATAACACTGTTGATTATTCCGTTTTATCACTTAGATTTTACAAATACGTGTGCCGGGCTGTGAACGGCTCACGTATTTGTAAAATCTAAATCTAAGTGACTCGTACAACATGGAATTCATATAAAACGGAATAATCAACAGTGTTATGGGGGTCAACTGTAGTTATATATGTTAAGAATTTCCATACATTTCATCGTGGAAATTGTTTATCAATATGTGTCAGGAAAAAGTAATGTTACATTTGTACTGTAATGTTTTCGTAGTAAACTATTTTTTTAATTCTTTTTATTTTTTGTTAAATTAATATTACCATACTAATGAATAACTATTTCNACAATAATTATAATTGTAATTAATTCTTTTTTAATACGGTGTTTGAGTATTCTGAATTTGATTGTTTTTCTTTAATTTCACTCCTTACAGCACGACTTTCGGTTTCGCTCTAACACGTTTTGAAAATCCTCCGTACAAAAACAAATAAGTACAATTCCGTCTTAAAGTTAATTCTTTTATATAGGAGAACATCAGCTGCACACGTTTGACATATATTCGGCATTTAACGCAAACTTAATTTTATTAAAAGTAATCTAAATGTATATAATAATAATTTATATTATAGTACATTATTATTATTATTTCCCGGTTGTTATAGAACTATTTTATAAAAATTCTAAACATATCAATTCTTGCCGGCAAACAGACAGACAACAGTATAAATGTATAAACGTGAAATTTGAAAATTAAAGCCCAATTAACTATATTTTCACAACCCCTACATTGGCTATAGTCACTGCCGGCCCGAGCACAATCAGCGCCCTTGAAAAATTATTTTAATGTCGTACCATTAAAAAAAATTCGCAACAATATAAAACACCAATGCAAAATTAAGTACTGTATCTAATTTTTATTCAAAATGCAGCACGCATTATGCCGATCGTAAGAATATGGCGATACATTCAAAATGACAACTCGTGAATCAACACGTAAGAAAAAATTCTGACAAAAAAACATTTATTTTTTCATTATTTATTATAATTTAAACATGTACTTTCGCCATGCCAAACTACAAATTCAGACGCCCTGGGCCAGCGCTTAGTTCGCCTATATAAATGACCCAGCTTACTAAACAAGCTTTACTTTTACGTAAAAGACGGCCGACTTCGCCCGAAATTGCACCTTGTTTCTTCGCCCTATGCGGGCATTGTTTGTGCGGTGATGTCGNAACTACAAATTCAGACGCCCTGGGCCAGCGCTTAGTTCGCCTATATAAATGACCCAGCTTACTAAACAAGCTTTACTTTTACGTAAAAGACGGCCGACTTCGCCCGAAATTGCACCTTGTTTCTTCGCCCTATGCGGGCATTGTTTGTGCGGTGATGTCGGCCGTCTTCCACCCGCATCTGTGTCCCTTCTCTTCGCCCTACGCGGGCTTTATTTTCACGGGTCAGACGGTCGTTTTCACCGAAAAATATATCTTTTTTCTTCGCCCTACGCGGGCTTTGTTTGTGCGGTGATGTCGGCCGTCTTCGACCCGCGTCTGTGTCTCTTCTCTTCGCCCTACGCGGGCTTTATTTCCATGGGTGAGACGGCCGTTTTCACCGCAAAAATATCTTCTTTCTTCGCCCTACGCGGGCTTTGTTTGTGCGGTGATGTCGGCCGTCTTCGACCCGCGTCTGTGTCTNATCCAAATATGGCAGTAATGGGTGCAGATACATCTCCAATGAGAATGAATGGTATGGGAATGGAAAGTAAAACCATAGTGCAAGAAAGAACACCCGAAATGACTAAAACAACAGTAATTTCTGAAGCTCCAGGTTACGTTCGCCAAGATACTTATGTTCAAATGCATGGATAAATTCGATTTATTTTGAAATATATTATATATTATTTAAAATTTATTTGGTGGTATTGATATGATTACATTTAATTTCTTTTTATTCATTTTTGAAATTGCTTTATTAATTTCTTCTGAAATGTAAAATGTTCGTTGCATAAATTATTAATAAAGTTTCCACATTCTTGGTTAGGTATTCAATTATTTTATATTTTAATCGCAGCAGAAAAGCAGATTGACACGAATAATGTTTAAAATATTGATATTTTTCAAGTTTGTAAGATTTTTATCAGCTAATAAACAAAGTTTCTAAAAAAAATTAACATAGTTTTATTTTTTAAGTTAAATAAAATAGACAATAATTATAATTGTAATTAATTCTTTTTTAATACGGTGTTTGAGTATTCTGAATTTGATTGTTTTTCTTTAATTTCACTCCTTACAGCACGACTTTCGGTTTCGCTCTAACACGTTTTGAAAATCCTCCGTACAAAAACAAATAAGTACAATTCCGTCTTAAAGTTAATTCTTTTATATAGGAGAACATCAGCTGCACACGTTTGACATATATTCGGCATTTAACGCAAACTTAATTTTATTAAAAGTAATCTAAATGTATATAATAATAATTTATATTATAGTACATTATTATTATTATTTCCCGGTTGTTATAGAACTATTTTATAAAAATTCTAAACATATCAATTCTTGCCGGCAAACAGACAGACGACAGTATAAATGTATAAACGTGAAATTTGAAAATTGATACCCAATTAACTATATTTTCACAACCCCTACATTGTGCTTTCGAACCACCACGTTACTCCCGAAATCTGGTGGCTAATCACTGCTTGCCTTGTCACCCCCGAAACACACGTATGTTCTGCGCCGTTTTTTCGTATACATTTTATGAAACATTTTTAATACGTAATTGCTTCTCGTGTGTGTCTAATCGAGGAAAATTTCTGAGTCTGCTGTTTATTATGATTCTGTAAGAAATCTTTTAATTGTTTGTGTATTAGAAAACTAATCAATGGAAGGTTTTACGAAATCTCAACAAAGTGTAGAGAACTCTGACGCCATATGCCTTGGGAGGTGATATATCATAAGGTTGAAGATAGACCCTTATAAATCTACTACCAGTGCTCTGTTAACAGGAATTCCGCTAATGTAAAATATATGAGAGAATATAGGGAACGTGGAGGGTTCTCTCAAGCGAAGTGCTTCCTTATTCAGTGCTCTATTAAGTGAATATGAACAAAACGAACAATGCTATAATGAACAAAAGAAATAAATGTCCACTTCGCATTTTTACTAATTTCCTTCCTGAGAGATAAGATGATAAACTTAGAATGAAGATAATTAAACATTTTAAAGTAAATTTTAAAATTTTATGAATAAAACATAAAAAATAAACATCTAACTTCAGAAAATCGCTATAAATTATCTCAACTTACAAGGATTAACATCACCTTTGGGTTAGATTTGAGATAAAGATATTATTTTTAACATAGGGTAGATTGTCAGTGCAACCCATACTGATTAACTACTACTATTACTGTTAATAAGCTACTAATTGTTTTACTGTCCTGTAAATGAAAACTCTCTTCCTGATTTTAAGTTCGTCAAATTATATTATTATTTTATTGTACTCCGAAAAATGCTTTCTTTAATATTTAACAACTAGTTTTGTTACATGTGATTAATTTTATTTTTTAGTTACAGTTTAATTGACATGCCTGTAACCCCAGGGTTTCTGGTATGTTAGTCTCTCCCTATTTATATACAGCATCTGGTCAATTCACGAAAATATAGTAATAAAGGTTCATATCAATTAATAATTACAACAGAAATTTTATTTTAAATTTTCAGTAATCTTCCCTCAATTTTTGATGATTGGTGAATTANCGCTGATGCTCTTCCTCGAGTGTTAATTGCGAAACTTACATACAATTAATGGCAGAAAAACAGCCATAAATGTGAATAACACCAGTATAAGCTTTGTGTTAATCGATATAGTCCTTTCGTGTATTAGGTATGTATGTTGACTGGTTAATTAAATGCCGATAACCTATAAGAAAAGGCCGGATGGCCGAGCTGTCGCGGTAACAGCCTACCGCTCTGGGAGACCCGGGATCGAATACGGGTCAAGGAATCCCCAGGAACTTTTTGGAGGATGGTCCGTTCGGATATGACAAGTGACCCCCCACGTATCTCTTCACTCCATTTAACTTTAATAGCAGCGATCTCTTTTATACACAAACCTCTATGCAAAATTTCACAAGTTTTCGATAGAAAAAACACCAGTTATTAAGCTTCAAAGAAACACATACTTAAACATCCACAAACGTCAACCGATATAATGCAAAATAGACGGTGACCCTCCACATATTTTTTGGCTCCTTTAGTGTCATAATTTTGATAAATGCAAAGCACTGAGGAGAGGTCAAACTTTCACCCACAACCGAACTTTCTACGCGTTGTCAAACCCCTATATTAAATAATTAAAATANTTATTGTTTATTTGTGTAGAAGAGATGCGGATTAACTTAATTACTTCGAAATTTTAAAAAATGTTTTAAAACTTTGAATTAACATACTTTCATAATTAATAATGGTTTGGTTTGTAATGTGTCCTATAAAACAACATTATTTATTCTTTACAGGAATTCATGGAAAATGGAGCGTATAAAAGCTTAATCATCAAAATTTCTAGAAAAAAATAATGATATTTTTTATGAGACATTTTAAGCACGGTAAACGTTAACGCTTATGTTTTTATGATATAAATGTAATTTAAAAATTATAAAATAAATTAAACTTGGTGCATTAATGCAGCATTTTCAGCTTTTTCTAATAGTGGCACTCCTACTTTATCAATGTAGAGTTATTGCTAGTTGCTTAGTAAGCAATGTTTACAAGTAAAGGGCCGTCCATAAATTACGTGAGAGCGATTTCGGCCGTTCTAGACCCCCACCCACTCCTGTGTAAGTAACCTTAATATTTTCTTTTATCCCCCCTCCCCTTCCCTTCCCTATCTTATGTAATATTTTGGCATGATTTTATAGAAAGAGTTTAACCAAAAAAATTTTTCTTATGAAACCCTAAAAACCTTAGGTTCAAAATATAGTTAATTAATGTGTACTATTATTTATAAAAGGCTTTATGTGAACTAATTTAAAAATATAAAAATTTAATGAATTCGAATTAACAATTTATTTTAAGAACTTTATTTTTTAATTATTAACAGAATAGAGAGAAACCACATTTCATTACCATATTGATTACATCTTTGCTAAGGCCAAGAAAATAAACTACACGCTACTAAAATGTGCTAGGTGCATCTGGAGACTAAATACAGGCATACCTCGACTTACGTCATTCCCGATTATACGTCGTTAGTCAAAAAAGTGTATGGAAAAATAAAAATCAAGTTTAAGTCATTTTATTCGACTTTACGTCTGTCCGCCACAAATATTGAAGTCGTAATATCACTAGATAAACGTTTAAAGCACATAAAATCATATTAAAATATATACGAGTATGTTCTGTATTTACAGTACATGCATTCGTAAATTTAGAATACTTTTTTCTGTACTATATTAAAAACTAAAATTTATTTGTTTGTAAGCTTAAAATAGATTTTTATTAACCATATATTATTAAAAATGCATTAATAAATAAAATACAAAACCAGGAATGGTAATTTATGGTTTAGCCCAGTGACAAGTAGATTCGGAGACAAGTAAATTCGACTTACGTCGTTCTCCTGGAACCAATTACCGACGTAAGGCGAGGTATACCTGTAATAAAGCTTATAAAACTCTATATAATGGGGAAATACAACCAATGCTATTTTACGCAGCCTCTGGCTGTGGTCATGTAACTAGTAAAAATTCAGTAGCAAGTAAATTACTATCTTTTTAAAGACAGTTTGCCATCAGAATTTCAAAGTGCTGCAAAACTGTTTTTACTAATGCCTCTCTGATATTAGCAGAACTCCTTCCTTTGCCACTATGTATTGTAGAAAAGGTTCTAAACTACTACATCAGGACTACAAATGTCAAAACTCAACAACGGTCTTTACTCCTATCTAGGGCTGTTCATATGCTGCGACATTGCAATTACCCTACTATCTCTGATCATCATCCTGTAAACAAGGTTATTTGGTGTCATCTGTTTCCTCCATAGATAATCATGCAGACATTAATATCTACACAGATGGGTCCAAAATCTCCTTGTCGGCTCAAGTATCTGTATCTTCCTCCAAATAGATGGAGGTATGTAGAAGGTACAGATACCTCCCACATACATCCATCTATCAAGCTGAAGAAGATGCTGACTACCAAGCTGTTCAGTGGGCCACTTCACTACCAAACAAAACTCTGTCTATCAACATTTACAGTGATTCTCAGTCTGTCCTAAAAGCTCTATTAAATCCCAATTGCAATAGCAATAAAATCGCATATATCCAACACCATATTAATTAAAAATAATGTAAATAAGATAACTTTATATTTGTTCCTGACTATACTGGCATATTGGGAAATGAAAAAGCTGACTTTGAGGCTAAGTCAGCTGCAAAGGACACACTGATTTGGACTACACTCGCATCTCTCTCTCACGTAGTAGCCTTAAAAATTATATTCGTGACAACGCTATGCAAAAATGGAAAAACGAGAGAGAAACCACCACACGGCCTTTCTCCCATGACAAAAAATGTGTAGAGCGTGAATCTGCTAGCGTTCCCCGCATTTCTTTATGCAGCGAGAGTGTAGCGAAGTGACGTCATGAGCAGTGTTTGCCAATTAGAAACCAGTTTCAGTGTGTTCGCTGTAAAGTGCTTCTCGAGCGCTGCATAAAGAAATGCGGCCGTTATTACTCTATCACGTCACACGAGTCAACGAGCGTTCTTAATAGAAATCACCAAATTGAAGCCAAATTCAAAACGCCATCAAAAAATAAAAATAAGAATATTACGTAAAACGAGATCTATTACCCCCTACCCCTGAGTAAGAAATCGTAAGAAATCCTTGACCATAAATTACGTAAGATATTTACCTTACGTAATTTATGGACGGCCCCTAATAAGTGCT